CCTACATGTGAGCACAAAATTTAGGTAGTTATTATGTCTTAAAATTTGACCTGATAAACCAACAGTTCGTGTTCATTTCATTCTGTTCCTGTTGGCAGTCATCGCCTAAGTGTTTTCATTTTTATTCCAAGTGTATTTGTGAGTGAAGTTTACTTGCATCTTTGGTGCTGTTTGAAATTTCTTCAGGACATGACTATTCATTCCTTTTGCTCTTTGTCAATGGTAATGGCTCTCCTTTGTGTTATCATAATAGACTCTTTGTTATGCTCTCAGCAGAGCTATACCGTATCACTGCTCTCCATGTTGATTTCCATTCTCTGTAAAAACTTGGCTGTGATCAGAAAAATGCTGCCCTCTCTGCAGTCTTTATTGCCTATCTGGCCTGCCACCTCTGGCAGAGAAAGCAAACCTCTCTACAGTGGGAAAGGAACGTTGACAGTGCTTGTTCACAGAATAACATCAAGCATAGCATTGAGGATGAACAGAGAATGGACTCACACTCATTGGCATTTCTCTCTGCCCTAAACTCCTTCAGCCAAACAGAAATGCTAGAAAGATGTTGCCTGTACCAAGCTTGCTGCTGCAGCAGATCCTGAAGACAGACTATGATTCACATATGATTTTCCCTTCATTGACAAGTCTATGATTAAGAGTAGCTGCTGTTGTATACTGGAGGAGGGATGACTAATTCTAGTTCATCATTTAAGATGTCCACTTGTTTTCTGTTGAGCGCATTAGGTTAGTACGTAACATAAATACATATGTCCTGTGACAAAAGATTCTGCAGTTTACTAATTACTCTCATAGACTACCAAGTCCATCAATAGTCTGAGTTTTTACACTTTTGTTCAAAAAAATCTGACTACTTTTTCTGATCATTGGAGGTTAGAAAACATACTTCAGTACTTCAGGTTTTCTGATACTTCATTTGTAGAAGACTTGTTTAGAAAACCCTATTTCTGAACTTATTTATGCAACTTTATTCTTGATTTTTTTACAGCTAGTGGAGAAAAGGGTTCAGTGCACACGATTATATAGTAAATTAGAAGCTGCATGGATATAACCAAAAACATAAATGAAAATAACCCTTGGCAACTCTCCTTTTCTGAGCTTTCATTTCTTTAAATTTCCTTAATAATGCTGATATTTGTATTATCTACAGCACTGTTACACAAATATTAATGTAGGTTATGCAGTTACATATGGATTCTGCTTGATTTTCTATTCCTATTACTGAAGTCATAATTTTAAAGACAATTTTGTGAACCAAAGTCAAATACAAACTTAGCCACAAAATTGAGGGTACTATTAGCATGACATTTTCTTAACAAACAGAATGAGGTTTTTTTACAGTTTAAAACATTTTATGTCTTCATTTTTTTTATAGTTGCTCAATGTCAAGTTTCTTATCTCAGTTGCAGCCTGGAATGCTTCAAACCGTCATCAGAGCAACTGTGTCTGTTTCCTTCTCTATTTCAGAGAGACAGGAAAAGATAATCCCAAGCACTTGTCCATGAAACAGCTTCTGCATTTTTGAATTTAGGGTTATTATCCACAGCTTCATCTTCCTTCACTCTCCTTACCCACAATATTTTGCAGGTTTATCAGGAACTGAGAGAACATCTTGATGCTGCTAAAGGAGCATGCAGAACTAAGCAGGTAAAGAGTACAGATGAGAGAGAACCTTTTGTCAGCTGTACCTTTTACTAATCTGTGCAGGATACAAGGTATTTTTAACCATCCCCAGGCTGCACTACTTCAGATCCTGGAGGAGTTTAGCACAGTTCACAACTAATCCCAGCTACAGTGATACACTTTTTTGTCAAGGGGAAAATATTTTAGTTGGATTGATCAGTTTGAACTAGCCTTTCTATTTCCAAGTCCCTAGCTTGTGAGTCACATGAAAATAAGGACTTTGTATGACTGTGCAAATCAGAAGGGGAAGTACATCTCTTTTAGGAATTTACATTCTTCAGGGAGCACAACCATGCTATTAGAGGTCCAGCTGTGTTATAGCCTTGCTCATGTAACTCAGGCGCATAACTTTTCTCTCACGATGTGGAACTCTTCGCTCTGCTGTGTATGAAAACTCTCTATTAGTCTTCAGAACAACAAAACTCTCTTTTTTTGATTCCTTCCTCAAAACCCCGCTTTTTTGTGGTATCTGCCACAGACTTCTAGTTGACAGCTGTGCAGCAGAGATCTGTCATAGCAATCCCAAGCACCTAAACAACAGTTCATTGTGGTAGTTTTATATGACCCAAAATTTACACAGAGTATCTATATGCTACCTATATAGGGATGTATATATTTTATATGTACATATATAGATATGTTTACATACATTATACAGCTATAACAGAAGAATACAGCTACAGTTCTTTATTTCAGTAACATGAATGGATGCTACCTGGTTATCTACAACCATCTCCACTGCAAAACCTTGCTTGGAACACCTCACTTGTCATATCCAGTCTTATTACTACATTGAAATCAGGAAAAATTCAGCCATGTTCTCAAATTCAGGCAAACTCAAGGAATCTATGTCTTCCTTACAATGATATAAATAACAAGTAACTCTTGGAGGAATCACAATATAGAAGAGCATAAATCAGTTCTGTTAAATGAAAGGATGTTTCTGTATATTTAGGAGCTTGATGGATCTAACCATATTTTGTGATTAAACTTTTCTAGTGTAGAAAATTATATTCTATTTTGTGCAAAAGATTGTTCACTCACTTTTTTATTGATATAATATGGGTCCAGGTCTTCCAAAGGTTCAGACACCATTCCTGGAGGTATGTCGCCGTAAATAAATGGCAGCGTCTTTCCTGCCTCCAAGTCACTGTTTGGTTTTGGACCATTTTCGTCATCATCATCTGTATGTTCTTGCTTGGGCTTTTTAGCTTTTTCTTCTGCACAACGCTTCTCAATAGCTGTGAGAGAATCTCTAGTAAAATAGCGGAAGCTTTCAGGTCCTGGTGGTACCAGCAGTGCCTGTGCCATGTTTTCATCCTGCAAATTTAATCACTTTTAGCCTCTTGCATAAGAATGACCTATAAAAGAAAATTGGGTAATTTAGGTAAGCTAGTTTACCAACAGAAAAGAAAAAAGTTTGCTCAGAAACCCTTTCCAGGCCTGAAATAGAAGCAGCATTTTTCAAGGCTGAATGAAAGAAAAAAACATTTGCTCAGCATTTATTTAGATATTTTATAAATTATTTTTCAGCTTTTTCCTGCTGGTCTAGAAAAATACACTACTTCTGCCCACAAACACTACTTTGCCTATGTCCATAGACTTGCCCAGTTAGAGCAAAATACGGATACAAGTGTTTTAAAAGTGTATTTTTTTTAACAGCAAGTATAAATGCATATTCTATGAGGCACTCTTGAAAATTGTAAACCTATATTTTACTAATCAATACACTTTATTTTCCCATCTTTTTTCAAGTATTAATTAAACTTTACAAATATAAATATTTTCATTAAATGAAAAGGAAGTTGTTTTTATGATTAGTGCTGTTTAAATGACAGCAACTGAATTATGGAAGCAACAAGTGTAATTCCATCTTACTGACAGTTTACCATAGTGAAGGGTAATGTTAGAAACCAAAGCAGGTTAGGTTGCATTTATTGACTGTCTGCGAGCTGTGAATCAAACCTACAGGCCTTTTAAGTAAAAGGAAATAGGATGTATGATCAAGACTAGGCAGGAAAGAATCCTGCTCCTAATTCTTTGCAAGGCACGTGTCATAATATTATTTCAGACTAAAACTAGCATGAAATCTAAGTCTCCGGTTCCCTGTGAATGTCTTTGGTGCCAATGCTGGATGATGTAGTCCCTGCTACTACAACAACCCTGTAGAGTTCCCACTTTCTGCACCAAATTGTCCATTGTAGAACAAGTCTCTTTATGAAGCCCTGCAGTGCATCAGCTGAAAGTAATGTTCTTTTCTCTCTTGCAAGTCCTTCTGCAGCAGGATCAGCTGCTTAAACTTATGCACAGAGTAGAGGTTTGAATGGCTGGAGGGAGAGGATGGCAGAAGGATTTTTGCCGTCGTTATGGATCTCGTTATGGATCTCGTTATGGAGCAGTGCTGCCAAGTAAGAAATGATAGCCTAATTTGATGTCTACTTTGCAATAGTTTCTGGCCTAGTGTAGTAACAATTTTAATTATGAAACCCAATTTTTAAGAGTGAGTTTCAGTGCCTTCAATGAGTTCTAGTTGTGTTTTCTGTACATGAAGCCATGTAGCCTTCACTATGTTACTTCCTGAATGTTCAACATCTGTATTCTGAAGTTGCCACATCTAGACTTGAGACATAATATTGTATTCATTTGCACATTCATTCAATAGTCTTTCTCCTAAACCTTCTTGCCTGTCTGGAGCAGTTTGTGTAAATCACACACATGCACAAACACACAAAAAGTGCTACAGTAATGATCTTATGAAATGATGGATTCCTTTTCAAATGACCCCAAACCCAAAATCCTGTGTGAAGGTAGAGGAGAATGTTAAAAAGTGCTGGAAGAATCTACAGAAAACTGGAGGAAAGAAATTAAACTGCATATTCCTAAATCTGAATTACCAAGGTAAACCTGCTCAAGTGCCACACCAAGTCTTCACTCTGGAACAGGTTCACAGCACAGCATCAGTGTGTACAATCAGTGTGAACTTGTTGACCTACGTGGCTTTTCTATGAAACTAGTGTTAAAAGGTGCACCCTCTGAGAGTCATCATGGGTCTGCCTTGATGTTCAGTGCGTTTGGGTAGGCTGCTTTTCCTCTGTTAACAGCTTTAATTAAAAATGCTGTAACAAAATACATTGTCCTTACTAGAAATAAATGTGTTTGTATTACTAGAAGTCCACAAAGGGGCCAATGAATGACTAGGAAAGGTAATATTAGCAGACTTGGGGTATTACTATATTTCTCAGACAGTCATAAAACATCATTTAAAAAAGTTTTTTCCTTCACAAGTTGGAAACACCACTTGAATCCTACCTCCACTACTGTCTAGCGCAGTTATATCTTTCCTGTGTGCTGCTACTACACAAGAAGGTTTTTCCTATACTAAATATGCTTCAAGTGTTTTCATTCAGATTACGAAGCTTAAAAGAACAACACACAAATATGTATTTGATTACTGTTGATATATGGCAGTTTAATAGAACAAAGAAACAAAAGTAATTCTGTTCCCTGCACTGAGCCCTGAACAAGCCCTTAGCAATCCTTGAACTATAAACCACTCATTTGTTAGTGATAGCTTCTCTCTTCTTCCTTCACTGGTTTTAAAATTCCATGTTACCTAGTAACTAAATGGCCAGGACATGAATGATACTGGGCAGAATTCAGGTAAAGAATTCTGTAGATCTAATAATTTCAGAATAGCTTTCGTTAAAACCCAGTCTTTAAAAGAATATTCTCAAAAATACATGTGTCCAGGGCCCCCAGGACCGGATACTGTTCAACAAAAAGGATTTCAAGTTTTGAAATACAATTTGGGCCTAGATATTGTATGTATAAAGATCTACAAGTCTATAGATTTCATTAGAAAAAAGTCATGTCTAATTTATTAAAGACATAGTTTTGCCAAATAAATCAATTTAATTATATTTGAGCACTGCATTCCATAAATCTTTCTCTGGTTTTTCTTCAGTCCCTTCCTTTGAATAATACTGAGCAATAAACAGTATCCATATGTTCTTAATTTTATGCATATTTCAGTTAATTATATTATATTCATGGATAACTTGTTAGATTTGATTTTTGGCTATAATTATCTTCTCACCATTTACACAGAAGATGACTCAGAAAGTGAAATATCTGTGCTAACGATGTCAAATTAATTTTTGTGTGTTTCTGAAAAAGCCAGAAGAAGTGGCCTGAAGATACCTATTTTTATGATGTCTTAAATCAGACAAATAGTAAAAGTGAAAGTATCAGTGTAAGAACCAGGTGGATACTATGATTACTTAGTAAAATCATCAGGTTATCTAACAGGTTATTTGCATTCTGCATGAGATGGTCCAGATGCATACTTTTCAAGGCGGGGAAATAGCAAACCTTGCAGTTTTTCTTATGGATTTTTTTTTTTTTTCATTTTAGAACGTTGGATTAGAATTATCTTCATGCTAAAACCTAGAAAAAGCTGACTACTGAGATTTTCATTCCATTAAAACTGAAACACTGGCACACAAACACGCATTTGATTAGAGTTGGAATAAATGCAAGGATAGCAAATGGAATCTGTAAAATGACCAACCATCATATTTTTCTTATGCTAATCTTTTATTTGAGAGGCTGTAATTTGGGAATAATATATTCCTCTGTGCCAAGCACAGCAATAGCCTCTCAGATGCTGAAACCTGGATTAAAACCTCTGCTCTAAACCACTAATGTTAATAAGACTTCATATTTGGCCAGTAAAGATACTTGTCCAAATCAAAAAAGGTGGGGCTCCCATGGTAGGGCTAATGGCACTTCAGAAGTAAAAAGTGTAGCTGTTGCATGCTGATGTTGTGAGAAAATTACCCCAACTCAAACTACCACTGTCCTGAGGAGGAAAGGACTACAGAGGGTGGGTATGCCGGACGAGTCTAAAGAAGCAAATCATCTTAACTTCCTCTCTTAGTATTTGGGAAGTTGCTTTGCAAAATTCAGGTACTAGTTTTCTGGAAGTGAAGATAAATTATGCTTAAGTTACTATAATCAAATTCCAAATTGGGTAATGCTGCACTCAATTTTTCCTAAAAACAAAAGGATGGGTAAATGTAATTTCATTTGAAAATAATCTGAAATGAAATATTTTTATTTAAATTTCTCATGATATTTGTGCACAGAGGCTAATGTCACGAAGCAAAACCCGTCCCCTTATATGCTGAAGTGCTTTGAAGTATTTTTTTACAGTTACAGATTATTATCTTTTCATAACTGGCATTTGCCTTGTTTCTCCTGGCATCCTTGCACTATTTTTTAATGCTTTAAAAATATTTTAATAACAAACAGAACTCCAAAAAAAATATTTTAATAACAAACAGAGCCCAAAATGTCACTACTGTAATTCAAAATGGTAAATGTAAAATGCAATGCACAGTTAATTCAGATATCTAAAGAGATATCCAGTGAAAACTATCCCTGGGTCCTAAGTCAAGGAATCCTTGAATGCTGGTTCCACAAAAGTTGGTATTTTCAAGGAAAGCTGAAAACAGCCTCCAGCATTTAGCACCTGCTCAGAACCTGGCTCTTTAAACTGTAATATACTAATTAAAACTATGATAATTTTTGTTTACAGGTCCTAACTGACTAATATGTAGGGTTTGTTGTCCTTTTTTCCATTCCTTGCAACATTTATCACTCATCTATTGTGTCATTTTCCTTAGACTGTAATTTATCTGTAGCGATGACTATAATTTTTGTCTGGATTTGTACAGTCAGCCTCAGTAGCCTATAGGCATTAGTGTTATATAACTATTCAAAATAAAAATAAAATCACCACCAGGTATTTATTAATAAAATTAAGAAATCATGGAAGACAAAAATACTTATTATGAGAGTATGCAATCAACTAGTAAGGATATGTAACAGAAATATTATTTCCTTAATAAAAAAATTACTTAAAAGGGTTTAGAATGGGGTAGTGATAAGAGGTTGAATATGAATTGTCATTCACAGTGGATGAAACCTGATCAAAGAAGAGTAAATACAGCAAATATTAATGAATCAATACTAATGTGGTGCTTCAGGGATGTTACATGCAATTTTATTGAATGTCCTCCGTAAAGACCTGCAATAAGGTGTGAAAACACATTAACTAAATCTTAAGAACCTCAACCTAAACAAAAGAAAAAGTACTGTAAGAGTCTGGAGATCTGGGTAGAATATAATACATGAGGTTCAATCTGACTGGTGAAAGACTAGGCAAATGGGAAAACACTCAGAGCAGAGACTGGAAAGCAATCTCATACCTGTCTAAAAGATCCAGAAGCTGCTTTTTGAGAGGGTGT